TTCACGTCTAAGTCTGTCTAAGCCCACCTAAGTTCTAGAGGTTTAAGGTTTGATCGTGTTGTCTCCGTATAGTACACCTTAGAACATGCATTAACTCGATGACATAGTTAAAGTAAATTTAATAGGATTTTCTTAAATAGCGTAGCTCAACTCCCTTCAGGTACTTAGGATGTTTTCTTTTGTACTTAGGATGTTTTCTTTTGGACTGTTTTCAATCCCACACCAGACTTAAACAGACCAGACCAGACTTAAACAGACCAAATCAGACCAGATCAGACTTCCGTGGTTATAAAATACAGACGTTTACCAGACCAGACCAATTCAGACCAGACCAGACTTAAACAGACCAGACCAGACCAGACCAGCAAATTTCAGTCCAAAAGAAAACATCCTTAACCCTTAATCTCATATTTGAGGAACTCATGGAGACTCATATTAATCGAGTCACATAATTAAGGCTGAGGTGTAAGATTTTTCGAATCTAGCTGCATACCCTAATAACTACTCATCTGTTCGTTTTTTTTGGATGAATCTACTCATCTGTTCGTGTAGTGGGTTAAAGTACGACAGAGGATATGAGAATAGAAAGGAAATATCTATAGGCCGGGATGGGCATCAAGTTTACCTTTAAAAAGAAAGTGATGGTGTCATTGGTGGTTTATGACCTTCAATTCGCTTTCATTGAATGAACTACATCCATCATCTGATCGGCCAAATTTAAATAATTTAACATGCACTTTTGTTTTCTCTTTTAATAGTTGATGTGACTCGCATGGAGAGAATGAGATGGAAGTACTTCAAAATAGTTCGTCATCCGTTCCAATGAAATTGAAATTTGCAGATTTTGAATCAATTTAGTAATATTGATCGAAATTGATTGAAACAGTTGAATTGGCTGAATGGTAAAAAACATGTAACATTAAAAGTCGCTAAAATGATCTTTTACACTAATATCTGTCAATTTAGTCAGAAATGTAACTTTAATTAATTACAAGCTGACAGTCTGACACATAGAGTAACACTCTGACTCATGTACTTGCAGAAGTTCAATGCATGTTTATATACTTCGTATATACTAACCTCTAAGTGCAATTATCGAGAATTGAATCCCAGACTGATGCCTCATGACGACACTATCTATCTATCAGTTGAGCAACGGCCATCAACATCTCTCACCTCTTTAATATATGACGTACGTAGAGTATGATGGAGTATCATCCTCCTACATTAATTTCATGCATGTGTCATGTGTGATGCGTGTCACCGCGTTCATGAATCTTCTGTATATATATACTACTCGTCTACTCCCTCAACTTAAATATTTCTATCACTTCCTATAGCTTGAATCTGTCGTTTCATCATCTCATTTCATCAGCTCAACTCAAATCAAAATGTCACTTTTTACAATTTTACGTTCGGTGTTCGTTGTCTGTTTTCTGCTGATCAAATGCGATGGTAATAATTAAATACTCCGTTTATATTTATGTTGTCCAATTATATACGTAGTATATCTAATATCTTTTACTTTTATCTTTCTCACGTATTTGTGGAATTTTAGGTGCCTTATTAGTGATAAGTTCTTTTTTTTTATTTAAATTTTGTGATATTTAAGTACGGAGTATTTAACAATTCAATAACGAATTTCTTATTTTCAGGCAATGATGATTACTATATTAACGCCACTCTTGTATCCATCCTAGAGCGAGTAATTAAACATTATATTTATTTAAACTTCTTAATTTTTTGAATAGCCATATTTTCTTCATTTACGTATTTGCATAAACCACCACAGGTAGCACAACTTATGAAAAATAATGATTTAATTTGTTGTTTAATTTCAAGTTTGATTGACCGGAAAGCCAGCTTCATATTACTTTGATCATGGATTTGGTACAGGATCACGCAATTGGCTAGTGTATCTTCAGGTAAATATATATAATCCTAGATCGATAATTAACCTAAAAAATAAGATAATTATATATGTACTACATGTCCAAGTACTTAGAACTTAGAAGTATATATATGCTAATCAACCACATGTTTAATTTATAAATAATTCAATTAATATAATTGATTTAATTACCTGGCCGGTTGAATCCAGGGAGGAGCATGGTGTGACTCCGTAGAGTATTGTGCCACTGCATATGCTCAGAGCCGAAATCTTTCCCTTGATCCTAAGCCATACCCCTTTCAATACATACTCAGCAACAAGAAGGAAGACAATCCAGGTAACTAGTTGTTTATTGCTAGTTCTTTGATTATGACGAATAATCTATTTGGACCACTCTTTTAACTATGAATATATGAACAAATAATGTGAACATAGTCTTTTATAAATAATTATCACTAGTGGACAATTAAATAAATTAGAGATCAAGCAGTACGTTTTTTGTAAATGTGAAGTCTATCTGACTCTTGCAACTAAATAATACGAAGTAACAGAGAAATTAATGAATGTAATTTAATTATCATATCCCTTTCATTCATTCGTGTTATTTAATAATGAGCTAGACTAACAATTTATGTTGTGACTTTTCAATTGATAGATTTTTTCAACTGGAATAGAGCTGTGCTGCGATACTGTGATGGTTCATCTTTCACATCAGACTCGCAACAAGTTTACGAGTACAATGTAGAATGCATATATATTATGAAGTACTTCGTACTTAATTATTAATTTATTACCAATTAAAACTATTATTATAGTGTATACTCTATATAACACTAATTATTCATGCCTGCATGCTTCTCTACTAATAATACTCTATATAACTCTATATAATACTAACTGAACAACATGAGTTAAATAATTAAGAGTGTAATTATCTGATTAATCCAGGGCACTAAGGTGTACTTCAGAGGTGCACGAATATACAAGGCCATAATGCAAGAATTGATGCACAAGCTGGGAATTGAATGACCATGGCCCAAAATGTAAGTATTTGAGATGATTTTATTATAAATTGATATTTATATACTACAGATATATAACAGACGTTATAAGGTAATTAATTATGTACTAATGTGTACTTTGTATGTATTGCTGATTATGATTCATAAATTCTTCAATCATATATATGGTGCGTAGATCCACCGGGCCATCCATGTTTGATAAAAAAAAATATATGGTCCTATATTTTGTGTATAATTTTGTGTAAAAAACCTCAAACAGATTGTTGGACTATTTTCTCAAAAAAAACCACAAGGCACAGATTGTTGGACTGTTTTCTCAAAATAATAGGTACACATGTTAATCTCATACAACCCTCTATTGTTCCAAAAAAAAGGTTCACAAAAATGGTAAATTGTTATACTAGTAGATAGTAAAGATGGTTACTGGTTACTACTTACTAATATCGATCATTGGTTGTACGTTGGTCACCTGGTCTCGCAATAATGATGTACGTAAAATCCATACTTATAACCTTGTGATGCAAAAATACTCTGTAATAATTAAGAAGACGATCGAATCATGAATGACCGAATCCGGACCGGCGGCAGTGTGGGAGGCGTGTGGCGTCTTTCTTCAACCCGAACCAGAAATAACGGATCCAATCTAGTCTTGAGAACCGGCCGGTTCTAGTCCCAACCGGTCCGGGACCTTACACCGGTACGTGTCCACCATTAACTATAAGTGTGGTCTAATGGCTTTGACTACATATATTGGTTGGGCTAATGTATATCACATATTCACATGGTATAATAATATGTAGCGGGTGGTATTTCACTGTTTGAGTTACTAATTAATCTGTCATCTCTATACTCTATCTATGTAGGCTCTTTTAGCAGGTGGTTCCGCGGGAGGGGTAGCAGTTGCGATCCATTGTGATGGATTTCGTGATCTCCTGCCCCACGCTACTAGGGTCAAGTGCTTGTCCGATGCCAGATACTTTTTCCTATCGTAAGATTGATATGTTTTTCTTTCTGAAGATTCTGTAAATAAGACTAAAACAGGGATTAAGTTCATCAATAATCAAATAAGTCCTATTTAGGCAGAGATTAAAGCATAATCGTCTCATTTTTAACTTTGTGTATGTTTTAGTCCTATATTGGGTGTTCTCTATTTTCCTTTTAGTTATTAATTAGAGATAATACGGAGTATAATGTTAACTAATGAATTAAATATGACGGAATGAAATTGAAAATAAGGTACTCATTTATCTTGGGTATGCATTAATTAAGAATTGTATTCAATGTATTGATGTGCATAATTTTCTTGCAGGAAAAAATTTGGGGGTGGAGAAATTTTTACACCAACTTTTAAAGGGGTGGTGGCACATGTAATGCATAATCTCTTTGTTGTTCCTTTAATTAAATTCATTTCATTTACATGACTTTATATAATTTAATTTTTACGTTTTGGATATTATTTCTAAAAAAGAGTTGTAATGGTTTTTTATGCAATACGAAGCAGGGATCAATCAAGGCATTACCGGAAGAATGCACATCCAAATTAAGTCCATATCTGGTGATTGGTGATTTATAGTGAATACAATTTTTTAATATGAATAATGAAATCTCGTTATTGCTCAACTTTTGGAATATGACATTTCATTTTTCTAATTATAGGATCATATTTAATCTTAACTTTTGCAGTGCTTCTTCCCCCAAAATGTGCAACAATCGAGTAAAGGGTCAGTTTGGTACTCGAAGTTGCATAAAAAGAGTCAAATAAGTCCTTATATAGGAGGCTTTGTCTGCCCGTCAGTATTTGGGGCAGTTCCCGGTGGAATTTTTTGATGAATTTTTTTGAGCATCTTATTCATTAAGTCTAGTTTCCTCATACTAAATTTCAGCTAAACCTTCAATCAGGAAGGCATTCAAATGAATTCTTGAAGATAACTGCGTAGTTAAAAGCAAAGTTATTTTCAAGAATTCATTTGAATGCCTTCCCGATTGAAGTTATAGTTGAAATTTGGTATGAGTAAACTAGACTTAATGAATAAGATGATCAAACAAATTCATCAAAAAATTCCACTGGGAATCGCCCCAAATGACGACGGCCGGTCAGTAAGGACTTATTTGACCCTTTTATGCAATTTCAAGTACTAAATTGACCCTTTACTCTGCAACAATCTATCAAAACGCCCACCTTTTTCTTGATGTCTGCATTTGATACTGTTCAGGTCACAATTCAGTTTTAATTACTTAATTATGTGATTCTTTATATTGGTAGTGCTCTTATTAATGCTCAGATACATACGGAGTATCATTTTCAGGTCACATGGACCTTTGCAGGAAATGACACAATTAAAAAGTGTCTGACTGATTTTATGAACTGCTCAAGTGACATTATTAAAACCCTCCAAGGTTGGTGACTTTTGTGACAAAGTACTTTTTGATATACACATTATTAACAAGTTGAATACATAGAGAGATCATTTTCTAATTTTCCCAAAAAGAAGTATGTGTATCATTGTAACAGTAAATAAAAATAAATAAGAGCAATTAATTACTCCCTCATATTCTTGATATAAGTCATAGTTAACCAATGATTCCAGCCCAGCTGGTTGTGAGGTTACCGTGCATAGTGGGAGGTCTCGAGTTCGAATCTTGCTAGAGGCATATGTAAGGGTTTGAAACTCAATGGAGTGAGTTTCAGCTCTGATTACTCCATGCCCGCCAGCCTCCCTCCCCCTGACCCCCCGGAGTAAAAAAAAAAGAGAAATCTTGATAAAAGTCATAGTTTGACCTTCACGAAGTTTTAATTAAGGGAATCACACTATATTTTTTGGCATCCAGAAATAATTTTTTTATTTCTCTTAACTAAATGAGTTTGACATTGGAATTGTTTGACAATGTTCTCTTATTAGCATTTTAAGCATCTGGAATGCAACTATGTGTATAATGTATGAGACATGAGAGATATGGAAACATAAAAATTAACTTAACGAATTTCTCTTTCTTTTGCAAGGTCTTCAATATTTTAGTTTATTTTTAGCAACAATGTCAAACATACTGTCTACGTTTAAACGTTTCATTTGACATCATGAAGAAAGTTACCAACGTCTGTTTCTTTGTTTATCACTACCTACTTTTTAGTAATTTTTAAAATATCTTATACTGATTGGGTTTTATTTTCACTCAGATTTGAGGTTGGAATTTTTTAGTGTATTGCCTAATCTAGGCAATCCTACTTCGAGGGGGATTTTGATTACTTCTCCCACAACTCATGAACAACTTTCGAATTATAGATGGAATACTGACATGGTTGTAGATGGGAGCAATGAGGTATACCCAAATCATTTGATTACCTATACGTACTTAATTTCTTAATTGAATTTGAATACTTCATGCATGTGTATCACTGTAGTTAAAAGTTTCGTCAAAATATGCCACTAATTTATTTCATTTTCAAAGAAATGAAAGACTATATAACTATATGAGACAAACAGGATGATTTTTTTTTTCTGTAAAAAAAAAAATTATTGTTGATAAGAAAGAAAAGAAAGTAAACCATTTAAGGCAGTTAATTTAGAAAACAGTGCCACTCCTTTATTAAGCAGTATAATAGAAAATAATGCACTGAAAAATTTGAAGATAACATGACTATTAAAACTAGATTTATTACAAAGTATTTAAGGAAAATAGTGGGTCCACTAATAATTTTTTTATTTTGGTCACAACTACTTTCCATAATTTTTTTATTTTGGTCGCAACTACTTTCCATTGCCATGCAAGAATATACTATGTACTATATATACACTGTGTTTTATATACTTTATCGTTTCTTCCATACTAATTAAAAGCTGAATTATTGACTTATTGTGATCTATTTTTTAATCTTTACAGAAAATCTCTGAACTGTTTGGAGATTGGTATTTCGATCAAAAAGGCGTGCGAATAATCGACAAATACCCATGTCCATACAATTGTTCCATCAACGACACTAAAGCCAACAATGCGGTGCTAGCTTACATCATCAACAAGAGATTGACAGTGTTTCTCGTTTTATTCAATTGGGTGGTAAGCTTGTTATTGTAGCGTCGATACACTCTTAATTAGTAGTGACAATAGGCAACATTATATTATTGTAGTAGAGCATTACAATTACAATTATATATATTTGAAATCAACTTGAAATCCATAACGTACTTAATCGCATCAGGTCAAAACAATATATATCATTCTTTTAACTTCGGGTGTAAATAAAAATTAAACTTGTAACGTAACTGCATCTGGTTAAATACGATATTTAAATTGATAAATTGAATTTTTAAAACCAGTTAGAAGTCTCATTTCAACTTTTGTATAGTAGGTTTGTCACGCTTGGCATTTCTCGACAACGATTGCATAATGCATCAATATAATAGTGTTTAATTCACTACAAGAATTTTCGTTTTTTAGTGGCAGAAAGTTTGTCAATAAATCCGTCATTAACAACATTAGCGACGCATATTAGAGACGAAAATTCTGCCACAGAAATCGCGCGGCTAAATGCCTTAGTGACAGAATTTCGCTTCCGTCGCAAATCAAAGGCAGAATTCCGCGACTACGGATTCCGTCGTTGTTAATCGTGACAGATATTTCGTCATTAAATATCGTCACTAAATTAATTATATCTACAAAAATAAGATATTCAGTTTGCTCCAGACTCCAGTTTTATATTTATATGCCATTAATTTTTCTAAAAAATAACAGAGTACTCCATACGTATGTAATTGTATCACAATATAAAGTACAAAGTGCATATAATTAAATATATATGGATATGTAGCCAAAAACACTTAACTTTTATAGTAAACATACTTTAACAACCAACATTCATAGTCATTGTGAGTACCATAAGTAAAGCCATACTACAATCCAGAAATACAAGCAAATTCTTAATATGGATACTACTTGGATATACAATCCAGAAATACTAATTGGAAATAACAAATACTAAGTGCTTTGAGAATGTGGAGAGGATGATGGAGTAAACTGGAAAAAACTTGGTGCATCCATTCCAAGTGTTTTCAGAAATGGAAGCCATGTTTGCTCAAAAGTTTTTGGCTGTGAACAAGGATCTTCATCTAGCAAGCTTTCATCCACGAGTGGCATTACCGGTGGGCATTCCTCGCCTTGTGAAGATAACCACTTCCGCATGTGTTCATCCCAATAGACACAAAATTCACGTGCACGCTGTGAAGATGCTGAAGCTTTTCGGTATTTTGATTCCAATTTTTGAAGGAAAGCTTTTGCATACTTTCCTAATCCAAATACTTTTTTGTTTTTACCCCCAGCAATTTCCAAATACTTGGAATTCAATTCAGCAACTGCAGCTTTAGATGCATTCTTGGAGCCCCCATTTTCAGTTTCAGATTGTTTGGCTTGTTGAATGTTCTCATTAAATTCATCAGACAACTCAAAAATAGCCTCCTGTGGACAAAAAAATATATTTTGCAGCAAACAAACTCTTATAACATTTAAGCAATTTGATAAAAAGATTAATACAATTCGATGCATATAAAGAGGGAATATAAGTATTAAGCAATACACAAGTATTAATAGTAAAACAGTTCCGCTCATAGTAGGAGCTTCTCTAAGGATTTGAACTTCTAAAACATAAAATTTCAAAATTCAGAATAACTCGTGGATTGATTTAATTACTATAAAAACATGCTCAAAAACTTCAAATGACACAAGGAATTGAGCTTTGTTTTAAGCAATATAAGTGCTAATAGTAAAACACTTCAGTTCATACTAGAAGTTTCCTTCAAACAGCAAAAAGTAATCCCAAATGCAAAGAATAGGAACTTGATTTTCTGCAAAATGAGATTTCAAAATCAAGAATAACTTGTAGCTTCATTATCTATAAAAAACATGATCAAAAACCATAAACAACATAAGAACTAGAAACATGCTCAGAACCATAAACAACATAAAAACTTGAGGTTCTGTAAAAACAGTTTCAAGCAATATAAGTGTTGATAGTAAAACAGCTCAGTTCATACTTGTAGATCTCTGAAAACACCAACAATTTAATCCAAACACACAGAATAAAGACTTGAGCTTCTGGAAAATTGCATTTCATAATATAGAAGAGAATTACAATCCCAAATCAAAACAGTTTCTAGCTGAATTATTTCATGTATTAAACCATAGTAGTCAAGCCCTGAACCATCATAACTTGTGCACTTGACCATAACCCCACAATTGCATGTCACCCTCCCTTCAGATCGTGCAATAGTGTTGAACTTGTAACCATTTATATGAAGTGTTTGGTATGTCGTCACATATGGAGCAGGAAATCCAGCTAAAGCTCGAATCCATCGTGGGTGATCTATAGTGTCATTACGCACCTAAAGTAAATACATATGTTTAATAAATGTTAGCGAGAACTGTATTTCCAAAACAAAATTTTGTCTATTAACTAAATACAATAAATTCTAAACTTTAAACTCTCACATAGTGATAAAACCAGAGCGGAAATTGTGCTTGAAATTGAAGTTCATCGGAGGTTGTTAATCCGGTTGCATTCGTGAACAATCTGCAACAAAATGGCTACAGTATTAGACTAGAACTGCTATAATTTGAGTTAAAGAAATCATGAATTTGGTTAATTATGGCTTACTCTCGGAATGAGTCGATCTCTAGGCAATTTTGTAGTACATAGGAATGCACTGCATTGGATTCGTTTTGGTCCATGTATCGACGTGTGCTTGCACCAATTGCTTTTGCCTTTTGTGCAAAAATGGAAGCAGCAACATCATCATTAATCATAAAACCGTCATCAAATCTCGGGACACCACGTGCTTTTGTGGTGACTTCCTCCGGGAAGTAGTAGCTCGCAAATGTACCCATTTCACTTAGCAAATAACCCTCTCTAATTGAGGCTTCAACTCTAGCCTTGTTGCCGATCTTTTTCTTTAACACTGACCCTAAAAAACTGGTTAAATATGAACAATTAAGATTAAGAGTATCAATAACACAATACTATATTATGCAATAAAAAAAATAAACACTAACTTTTCGAAGCGATACATCCATCGATATTGCGGTGGTCCTCCTAGCAAAACTTCGTCCGGCAAATGTATGGGAAGATGCTCCATGGGGTCAAAAAAAGAGGGTGGAAAAATCTTCTCCAATTTACATAAAATGATAGGAATATCATCCTTTAGCTTTTCAATGACAGAAACTCGTGCAGTCTTCCTTGTTAACTCACGAAAGAATAAACTAATCTCAGTAATTGCCTCCCAAATACAAGCAGGTAGCATTTCTCTCAATGCAATTGGAAGTAGACGTTGCATAAAAACGTGACAATCGTGACTTTTCATACCGAATACCTTAAGGTTCTCCATTTCTACACAACGCCCTAATCGAGATGCAAATCCATCGGGGAACTTAAGTGAATCAACCCAACTGCACAAAACTTCTCTTTGCTTGTTTGAAAGCGTGAAAGGAGCCTTGGGATATTTTCCATCACGGTCCATCTCCATAGTTGGTCTATGACAAATCTGTTCCATATCCATTTTCCCTCGTGTATGGTCCTTTGACTTCCCTGGCACACCCAGAATTGTGTAAAATATGTTCTCAAAGAAATTCTTCTCTATGTGCATTACATCAAGATTGTGGCGTAGAAGCAAATCCTTCCAATATGGGAGATCCCAAAAGATACTACGTTTCTTCCACCCAATATCCTTTCCAACCACTTTGTTGTGTTCCAAACTGCCTAATTCGGTCACAGACATTAGGGCATCCATCTCACCATAACAATATAAACCATCTCTATATAATGGAGGGCCATACATGACTATTTTACCCTTAGTGAAGTTCTCGGTGTCCCATCGAAATGGATGATCTTCTGCTAGGAACTTTCGGTGGTTATCAAACCAACTATGTTTCTTGCTGCGGGGTAACCAGAATGCTTCTGTAAATTCAGTACAACACGGACATGCAAATTTCCCCTTCGTACTCCATCCAGAGAGCATGGCATATGCTGGAAAATCACTAATTGTCCAAAGCAAAGAAGCTCGCATATTAAAGTGCTCCTTTGAAAGTGCATCATACGTAACAGTCCCAACCTCCCATAATTGCTTCAACTCTTCTATCAAAGGTTGCAAATAAACATCTATCCTATTTGTAGGATTCTTTGGTCCTGGAATCAATATGGATAAGAACAGGAATTCTTTTTTCATACATATACCTGGAGGCAGGTTGTATGGTGTCACGATAATAGGCCAACATGAATACTTCTGTCCAAATTGTCCGAATGGTTGAAACCCATCTGAGCATAGACCGAGTCTAACATTTCTAGGGTCCTCGGCAAAAGATGGATAAAGATTGTCAAAATGAATCCATGCCTTCCCATCTGATGGATGTCGCATCACTCCTTCTTCTCTATGGTGACTTTTATGCCATCTCATATCCCCAGCAGTTGTATTTGAGGCATAAAGCCTCTGTAGTCTTGGAGTAATCGGAAAATACTCCATCCTGGAAAGCGGGATTGGTTTACTTGACTGATTATTGACCTCATACCTTGCACCAGAGCAAAATTTGCACTTGATTAGTTCACTGTCTGCTTTCCAATAGATCATGCACCCTTTTGGACAACAATCAATAGATTGATGGGTCATTCCTAATAGTTTGAGTTTCCTTTTTATTTTCTTGAAATTCGGGATGGGCTGATTGGAGATATGTGTTGGGAAAAACCTGTTCACAAGTTGAGCAATTCTGTCAGTGGCAGCCTCTGATAAGTTCATCTCAGTCTTTAAATTCAACAATTCAGTCATGGCACTCAACTCCGTCATTGGACAACCATCAAAACATGGTTGACTTGTCGCAGCAAGCATTTCATACATGCTCTTCGTCATTGGATTAGGCTCCTCATTGTCCACATGCATATCATCAGGTGTACCGATAGGAAATTCATTCCTAACAGCATCTTCAAACATTGATTTATATGGGTCATATGGAACTTCAG